CTGGCTGCTCCTCCCTGCTGAGACGGGGGAAGCTGGGAAGCTTCACAGATTGACCAAAGGAGAGGAAATGGTGAGGGATCAATCCAGTGATCTGCCCACGGGCTGTCTGCAAACCTCAGCAGACTGAGAGAGAATAAGCCCAGACGTGAAACGCTGGCTTTCTGAGCCAAGTTATTAGGAAGATAAGGTGCCGTTCCTCTCCATTTCTTTTGCCTTTTTTTGACCATAAAGAGGCCTGTGAGCTGTAAATATTAAATCAAGATGACAGAGCAACTGGTAACTGGCTGGGCTGGGTGCCACGGGACTGCTGGGTTTCTTTCTCTGGGCTAGGTACAGCCAACCTGCTGCAATGGGCTTCGCCAGCCCCAATTTCCTTCCCCTTCGGCATCTTTCAACGTAGGGCACATCCTGAACTCCCCACAGCGTGGTGGAACAGCAGCCTCCCCCTAGGAAATCCCCACGGGATGTGACCCCGCTTGCTTTGGATGAGTCCATGGGGGGGGAAATAAATAAACAAAGAGAAGTGAGAGGCTGAAGCCTGAGCAAACTCTGCTTTGCGGGCCTTCCCACGTGCCGTCCCAGCAAACAAACGGGCTGCGCTGTCAAAGTGACCTTCAGGGCTCGGGCGGCTCTGGCAGGGACGGGAGCTCCCCAGAGCCTGACAGACTGCTTTTAACGAGGGATTCAGGAACCCCTGTTAGCAAGAACCGCATGCGGCAAGCTGCAAACCGCCGGGGAACGTGTGGGTCGCTCAGCAGAAAGCTCACTCCCGAGCCGGGGGACGGCTCGCCTCGCCACCCCACCCCACCCCACCGTATGAAGCAGAGAGGAGAGGCCAGGCCAGGCCAGGCCAGGCCAGGCCAGGCCAGGCCAGCATCACACCCACACACAAAGCGGGGCACAGATCCTGCACCCCTCCCCTAACTCTCCTCCTCCTCCCCATTTATACTCTGGCCCCTTTAAGGCCAGGCAACACACACCAGCCTTTATGTAATTAACATTGATTACAAGTGGGCCCAGTTAGGGTCACCATGGCAACCCAATGATTAGCGATACCTGCTCAGCAATGAGCTAAGTCCCCCGACATTTCCCAGTTTGGGACTGGGAGCGACCCCAGGGTCCCATGTCCCCATGTCCAATGCTCCGCTCACCTGTGAGATGTACCCCCGGGGCACGTGGCCATCTCCCTGGGATTTCGCCGCCTCCCGAAGGCTCTCATTTCGGGCTCGGCAGGACTCCAGCTGCGCCCGCAGCGACTGGACCTGCGCCAGGGAGGAGAGAGAGATGCTCAGCCAGAGGTGGAAAAGTGCCACGACCCGACTGATGTGCCACATCTGAACCCCGGGCTTAGGGATGGGGAGGACCATGCATGGCCAACGGAGATGTCTGCTTCCCATGGGAATGGCAGCCTGCCAAGAGACCAAACTGGCAAAGCCAGCCCCAGCCTGGTAAGCGCTAGCAAGGAGGGGAGGAGACATCCCAACTTCCAGAGGTGGATCTGTGTTGGAGGAAACCACCGCTGCATGCGTAGCTGGGACAACAGACAAACGCACGGCTCCTTTCACAGGCTGGCAGGTGAAGTGCTTGCAGGCTTGGGAACAGCCAAAGAAGAGAGGTTGTGGATGTACTCCCGGGAAACACAGACTCCACACAAGCAGTGCCACCAACTAACTTATCCTGGACCAAAATGGGGCCTGGGGAACCTCTCCAGGCATGTGAGAGCAGGTCTCTGGCCTTGCATTACCCGGTTGCAAAAGCTCCCATGCACTCGAAGGGTGGCAAATGGAGCCAGAAAGAATGAACATCTCCCTGCACCTCTGCCTTGCTCTTCTGCAGAGCCTCCTGCCAGGGACCACACTAAGGGGCCACCAGAATCCCAGTTTCAGAGAGGAGGGATGCTCTTACCTCCTTTTTCAGTGCCTCGTTGGTGTCTCCGTGGCCCCCCTTGCTCTGGTTCAAAACCCCCGCGGTGAGTCCTTCAAGGGCAGGCGTTCCAACTCCAGCCACTTCTTCTCTATCTCTTCATTCAGCCGAATCCGCTGGTCCTCTGAAAGCGGGGGAGCGGGGAGGTCCTGCTCCCCAGCCTTGCGGGAAGAGTCCCCCACCAGGCCATCACTATTTGGGACCCTGCCATCAGGGGTCTCAAACCATTTCCGCCTCTCCTCTGAACGGATGGCCAGATCCCGCTCCAGCTCCTCATGCTTGGGAGTTCGGTCGGAGACCCTCAAGCTCCCTCTCGTCCTCTGCGGGGACCCCTGATTCCCAGGGTCCTGCGGCAAGGGAGACAGCTCCACGTAGTCAAAGGCATGGCGCTGCCCGTCCGCCTTCCAGTGACTGCCCTTCGAGTTCCCCTCGGAGCCCGAGCCTGGCCGCTGCTGCTCCTCCGTCCGGAGCGAGCCCTTCTGCGGGACGCAGTTACGGAAGGAGTTCTCCTTATCGCAGTCGGAGAGCCTGAAAGCAGAGCGGTGGCCGGTGAAGGAGAGGCGCTGTGCAGGAAAGGATGCCGATGGAGGCACCTCCAACTGCCCAAGGCTCAGCTCTTGCTCAGCCCAACCTTACAAAATCCCACGCTGAGCACGGAGCTGGGCCTCTAGCATCCCATCCCTCAGGGATACGGGTTTCTCCATGGGGCAGGGAGGATTCGCCCCCAGTTCCAACCATGCTGGTGGAGAAACAGGGCTAAATTGATGTGGTGAGGCAAAAAGCAGGTACAAGAGTGGAATCATCAGGCTTTCTACCCCTGTCACCGGCTGGTGTCTCCAGGCCATGTTCAGGAGGAGTGGAGGGCAGGGCTGATATAGGAGCAGCCAAACTGCCAGAGGGGCCTTCCCAGTCCCGGCCTGCCAGGGGACAGGGGCAGCAAGAGGGGGAAGAGGAGAAGCGGCGCAGGGCAGCTCTTACTTGGTGACGTCTGGAGCACTGACCGGGCGCACGTTCTTCCTCAGGGCCTCGATCCAGTTGCGCCGGATGCCCGAGGTCATCGCCGACAGGGTGAAGACGGCATCTTTCGTCTGCAACAGGGAGGCGATGGACTCCCTGTCAGCGCCCAGCGGAGGTACAGGCAGCTGACTCACTCCCCAAGACCCCCAAGGCACCTGATCGCACGGGTGGTGGACAGTGCTAGAGGGACCACGTGCTGTCTCGAAGACTCCCGTGCTCTTGTGGTCAGGTGGAGGGGTGGGGGTGGGGTGGAGATATGCTCTTTGCGGGAAAGCCTGTTACACACCCCCCGTGAGACCATCTCCAAGCAAAGGCAAAAGAAACTTTGCCGGCACATGTGGCCAAACGTGAGCTGGTGCCATCCGGTCGTTCAGGTGCTGGGAGCTGTGCACCAGTGCTGGGGTACAGCAGGGAAACCCAGACCACGAAGTGCCCAACCCTGCACACCCGCTGGGTTTTTTGCTGCCTTAGCAGCCATCTCCCGCTGCTACAGCGAGTAGCCGAGGACAGGATTGTACTGGGGCCAGATCCAGGGTACAGGTTGTTACTCAGAGCATGGTCAGCCAGGCTACACTGAGATCTGCTGTGCTCACCGCTCCCTCCCCACGGCTCTAGAGAGCCACCTTGTCCAACAGGTCAAGTAAACACTCCTGGCGTTTAGCTTGGCTCCTGGGCCGCCTCCAGCACAGCCTTCGGCCAGCCCTGCAAAGCCTCCTCCTCCTCCTTCTTTTGCAGGCAGGCAGCACTCATGTCCTTGAGCACTGCCACCCACGTGCCACCAACCAGCCCTGCTGGGCCACCATCCCGGCACAAGGTTTGCACGGCTTGCCTCTTGGCATCTCGGCATGGGGTGGGAGCATGCATTCCCACCCGGTGTCCCTTGGTGCTGCTGCTCCGTGTTCACGCAGTGCCAGACACTCACGTGTATCTGGAAGCCGTAGTTGCGCTGCACCGCAAACTCCGTCACGTCTGTGCAGGAGCGGAGGTCGATTTCTCCGTCGAGGTCATCAGCCTGAAAGCACAGCCCCCCGCTAGGACATCTGTGCAAACCCAGCTCTGAAAAAGCCCCCGTCACCTGCCGGCACCCTAACCAAAGCACAGGCTGCCTCTGCCTTCACCCCACAGCTCTCCAGGAGCCAGTCTCAGCTCCCTGGCACAGCATGGCCCCTTTGAACCCCAGGGGCAGCCAGCATGGATGCAGAGCGTCAGAGATGCCCAGCCACAGGACCGGCTCTTCTCCTCACCTCCCACCACTGACAGCCCCCCCAGGCTTCACCAGCCCGTCTTCAGACACCCATCCTCTTTGTCACCCCTTGGCAAAGAGCAGCTCGCCACCTCCAGCACCTTTCAGGAGGAGAGGACGCTGCTGCTTTCCCCGGGAGCGCGCTGGTCACGCCAGGGCTGTGCTCCTCTCCCCCCTGGCCGGGAAGGAAGAGAGGGATGGAGAAAGGCTGGCCGTGCTTACCTCCTCTGCGTTCGAGTCCCGGTAATACCTCAGGCTCGAGTCGGTCAGCACGAACCAATGTTTCTTCCACTGCAGGCGGATCGGGCAGGGGGAGGGAAGGGAAAAGACAGGAGGGAAATGGATAGGCAGTTACCGGGGGAAGTGTAGGAACAGGGAGGGACGCTCTGCGCCGCGACCTCTTGGCCTTCTCTTCCCCCTCCTCCATGTCCCTTCCGACTCCCCCTCGCGCCCCTCGGCTAGGAGAGGGGTGCTGGGTGAACCTCCATGCCGGCACACAGAGCGGGACACCTCCACCAAAAGCTTCTTGCTGCCTTTCCCAGTGGGATTGACCTCAGCGTGGGAGGGGGAAGGAAATTGGCTGCTCGCCGGGGGATCTGTAGCAGCAAGGGCTGGGGGAAGAGGCAGACCCCCGCCTTGGGCTTACCTCTCCTGGCTCGTCCAGGATGGACATCCATCCCTTCTTGAAATTGAGGAGATCCGGCTGGAGAGGAAAGGACAAAACAGAGGGTTACTGTCTGGGAGTGACCCACAAAAGGGCTTTTCATGCCAGGGGGGAAGGCGAGTCCCCAGCGGCAGAACAACAAGTGGGAATGGCCTGGCATCGCTTTTAGGAAACTCATGGGGGTGTAGGACCCGGTGGCGACGTAGGACTGGATTTAGCTCTCAGCAGCAGGAGATAAGGAAAGAGGTTTAAAAAAAATGAAAGGAAAATATGCAGCAGGGAGGTTTCCACAAGGTGCCTCGGAGGTATTTATTCAGAGAGGGGGAAGGCAGGGGCAAGGAGAGCAGGCAGAAGGGAATGCTGCACTGCTTGGCTTGGAGATGGAGGCAAAGTCGAAAAGAACCAGACACGCCTTGTCCAAACCCCGGCCATCTGTGCCTCACAGCTACGTCCCTCTGGTAACTTCACCACCGATCGTTTATTAAAGACGCTAGCAGCTCTCTACGAAACAGCCCTCACCACAAACATTACAGGAGGCAATTTAACAGCTGTGAAAACACGTTGCCTTAAACGATGTGCCCCAGGGTAGAGATGAAATCAGAGTCACAACCAGCGCTCGATCCTCTCTGAGACTCGACCCTCTCCAAGACTCAATTCTGAGATGCAGGGGGCTCCTCTTTTACCACCCAGCTCTTTCTACTCCCTCCCGCCACAGAGCCTGCCCTCTGCCCAGCCTCGGCCACAGCTACCAAAGATGAGGATGAACAGAGTTTCACCCAGCTCACCCCGTGCTAGAAAGAAGTTTCCCCCCACTCCCCTCCTCCTCCTCCTAACCTCACGCCACTGGTGCGGCATCCCAACCAGTTTATCTCCTTCCCAAGGTG